ATACTGAGGTTGAGCAGGTTCACTCACTCACAAACTGGTTCACAAACAGCACTAGTAATCACGGGAGGTATGGGAAGGGGGTTCGGTGTAGTGGTTAGATTACCTTTGACACAAAGTCTCTAGTCACCAGCGGTCATAGGGCCTATCAAGGAGTTGAAGCGCGAGTCTCTAGCAGAACGAATGTTTCTGTACACTTGCGATATACCAATATACCACTAGAGATCCCCCGGTTGTACGCTGTTGCTGTTGTGCGGCATGGAGCGGGGAAGGGGTCGGGGCTGAGCCGATATTGCGAGCGCAGCGTTGACCTTGACCTGTTTACGTCGGTTACTTCACAGTTGCGACACCGTCACCCTTTCACGGAGCCGCCGCCACGCCGCAGCTCTGGCACTACAAACTACTAATACTACACAACTAAACAGCACAGCTATACACCAAAGCTACCACACACGCCACAGCTATCAAGCTACGGTATATCGCAGCGATCTAATCGATACCAACCATATCGTTACGATAATCTGAGCGTGTGGACGGAAGATCGCTGCGATGTATCGGGTTTGGGCGGTCAATGAAATTTTGGATTTTTCTGGCGATGATTGGCAACGATATCGTGGTTGGAACGTGTCTGCTCGAAACCCAGTTCAATTGTGCCCTCTTCCTCTTCGTAGGTTTCTCGGTCAGTAGGCGAACTTAGCTCGTGACATATGACAGTCTTCTGTCATTCTCAACTAGAGATGGGCTAAATGAGTACATCGAAATACTGATTACTACCGGTACTGGTACTCTCGAGTATCAGTTACTTTTGATGATTACTTTGTACTCATGAGTACTCATCATGGCCGACGGGATTTTGTACCCGTAGAGTGTTCCTGTATCAGTATAATACCAAATACCAGTATATTAGTGGATACCACTGGTAGTACTCGGTTCCTTTACAAAATGATAACTATGTTTTCTTAAGCAGTTTATTCATTTATAGTGATCAGTGAAAGCAGTTTTCATATTTGTGGAATTTGCTATTACTAACAAATGATTATGGTATTTTCAGCTATAATACTCAGTTAAGTTTTAACGAGTAGGCTACTACTACTACTAAACTGATACCCGAGACGAGTCCTGGTACTGGATTGAAGGCTTAACAGTACCAGTACTCAATAGTAGAAACGAGTACTCCAGTATCAGATACTTTTGGTTTTGAGTAACAGTTACACACGGGACTGGCGAGTATCGGATACAAAGTATCAGATACTGCAGTCCCGACTCACCTCTATTCTCAACTAGTTGCGCGAGTCGTTCGGTTCATCTCTCAACTCTATCAGTAGTCTCACATGAGAAAACTTGGATCTCTTGAGAAGCCAAGAAAGACGCCACTTACTTATTGGTTTGTGTCGTCTCTTTCTCCCTATTCTTGTCAAACAAATTACATAGAGGGACCACAACAGTATCTCTTACATGTTGATCATAACTGAGAAAAGACCAACAAATTGCGAAGGAAGTTGGGGCAAAAACCGTCGCGTATGGACAGAACATCGCAACGATTTTTTGGTGCAATCAGATCGCTGCGATGTTTCGTAGCGTGTAGACGGGGCTTAAGCACAATTATTATAGATGATAAAAGCCCAATTATTTTCTGGCTGCACACCAGAGCATAAGGTGTTCCGGAAAACTACCACATAAGCACAGCTATCCCAATGCACTACACCACTGAAAGGAGAACTCTCTCAGACTTGAGTCCCCTAGTTCGGTCTAAAAATATAAAATTTACTAACTAACGCTAATGCAACAGAAATTTAAGTTAAATTAAGTTTGCTATAACGCTTTAAAGTCAGTGCAATAGGGCGATAGTGTACACCAGTGTTTAGTTTACTGGGTGGTTGGGGTGGGGGTGAATTGATTGTAAGTATATTGAGAGTCCGGGGCAGCGTGTCAGTAGGTCAGCAGGGTCGATAATGGAGGAAAACTCACAACAGGGCTGGAAATTGGATCTTGGATCAGTCACGGTAGCTAACAGGTGGGAGGTGGCCTCCTTTGGGAAATGTCCGAGAATGGCACTGCGAGGATATTATTGGTTTTTAGTATGTAATAACATAGTATAGTGTGGTTGTAAGGCAGAAATTTTGCAGTTTTTGCATATTTTTGTACAAATTTCCGAGATTTTCGGGCTTATTTGCAATATAGGTCAATGGGCTAAGCAAAACATTGTCACCTGTATTTTTCACTTTCTGAAACGTGGGTGCGTAATTTCGCGTTAGGTTAGGAAACTGTATTACTTTTCAAGCAAAATTTATTATATTGTTCTCTGAATCTTTTTGATTTGCCAGACCTAAATAACTGCCCAGTACATGTTCGAGGTCGTGACTTAAATTTACATGCCGAGCCCAAAAAGAGAAAACGTTTTCAAACAAACTCAACAAGCACTCAATAATCAATTGTATAGAATAAACTAAAAATGTCAAATTTTTTAGGTTTTGACTCAACAACAGTGTTAAGCCACTGTCAAACACCTAATTCATCCTTAAGATTTACATACTTCTAAAATTGATTTGGTACAAAAATTCTATAGTTTTGCTTGGTTAAAAAATCGGTGTATTCGAAAGAAACCCAGCTTTTGGCAGATTTTATTGTACAATTTGTGACAACTTTACAATGTAAATGGGATACCCAGTTCTATCCATCGTTATAAGTGAAATCGAATCTAGCGTCTTGGATTTAGCTTTCTGAAGTGGATATTTATGTTTGTACGCTAGCTAGAAGCCATACTATGTAGCCAGTCAGTGAGCCGGTACCGCGGCACCTGTACCGATGGCGGTGAGTGTGCGTGCGGGCAACGCCGTGTCGAAACACTCCGACGTGCCGCTCCACCGACCAACCGGAACCCCACACTCCAGACTCGGCCAGGATTCAAATAATGGTCCAATACCTGTGTGGCGTGGGAGGTGGAGGGGGCAATCAGGAATGTGTCCGTCGCGTCTCTACAGCCTACGTCCTGGTCCTGGACGGGGTACCGTTCTATGGCTAGGGGAGTAAAGAACAGTTTTGGTTTTGACCGTGTAACCAGACTGAGGACCAATCCAGCCCCAGAGGGCTCATCATTCCTTGCAACATCACGATCACAAACCCTAAACATTGTGGAAACCGTTTAGGTTAATTTTAACCTACACGTTTACCTAAACATTCCTTCTGTTGCTTTTGCTAAGAGATTTTTTATTCTTTGTGCAAAGGTGATTTATAAGTGAGATACCATTTGACGTTCCATTGGCCAAAGCCAAAACACGTCAGATGGATTACAACTAGATGTCGTTGTTTGTCCTTTCCAAGTTCCAAGCGACGGTGTTAATTTTCTACACTCCTAACTTTGAACGGATGTGCAAATTTGGTGATTTTCTTTCAAATTCATCAGTGTTGTAGCTACCATAAAAAAACAACAAGCAATGGAAGGATCAGTGGTGAATCAATTTCCAATTTAAATTCTTTTTTTATTTTTATGGTTCCATTATAGACCACAGACTATTAAATTGGCTTTGGATATAATTTTCTCTGGACGGGCATCGATGTTGATTTCTAAACATAGATCTAAAGAAAAGTTTATATTTTAAGTTTGTACCATAGATTAAAGAAATATACCTACTCCACACTAAGGCAGGAGTTTTCTGTGACGTGAACAAAGTTCTCTGAAATCGACTTATTTTAGGTTCTCTAAAGCCCTAGATAACTTTTTGCGATGAATCACTTGAAACTTTCCACCGCCTAGCCAGTACCCCGGGAGGTGTATTGCGTCGCATTTCGCACCATTGCTCTTGCCTTCCTCATGCCGCTACGGTAGGGGTAGGAAGTGACCTCGGCACCTCCAAGGCTCTTCCTCGACCGCGACCTCGGCTCTTGGACCGCTCGCACTCTGAATATCAGCCAATACAAACAAAGTCGTAACAAATAGCTTCCTTCAGACTATTGTTGAGTGTTTACTTGGAGTTTTTGATAGTTATTGCCACACATGCAAGGTTGAATTCTGTTTCGGTTTGATTGTTTGTTTGAATGTCAGTGACATCAGCCGGAACATAATCGAATACGGTAATTTTTAAGAAATGTGTTTCAAACTTCTCAAATTTGTTGACATAAGGATCAAACTTGTCCCTCCGCAGAGACCATATCCAGATCCAATAGGCTAGCAATGAAAATTGTTTATATACTGTATTCATTAATTGGAAATTATTTTATTTGAATAGGTATGACAAGTATATTTTGGTGCAAACATACCACAAAAAAATTATAAAAATGGAAATGAAAATCCTTGATTTCAACAGGCTAAGTTAGCGCTACATGGCCCTTTCTAACACTTAACCTGCATTATAGTGCATTGCCTAACTAGAGGTTGCAAACTTATAAAATCCTCCCACTTGTACACTTCATTACCTAACCTAATAGCATCACTTTATTGATTTTACTAGACTCTGAAATGTTTCGTTTACTAGAAAATATATTAATGAAAAGTGGGCGAGAAAAGGATTAAAAGTAATATTGTTTGGTCAGATTGTTTATTTAAACTGGGGAGGAGAGATGGCTTGCTCATGAAAACATGAAATAATTATGTTCAATAGTTCCCAGTTCCACATGATTCAATTTTAAGAGAATTGTAGGCCTCTTGTTCTTTATGCCTAAAAGAACTCTTATTCAGTACCGTCGGCTATGACAATGTACTTCTTTGCACCTTGACTATGTAGACAATGGCACCTTTGACAATGTTTTCCTGTATTTGTCTGCAAGTTACCTCTGGCTCTAAAAGTGTTCCTGGGCTGAGAAGCCATTTATTGTTGGTTTGAGAACTATTACCACAGGTTTGCTCATCTGGGATGATACTCCAATGTACATACCAATTATATTTGTTGACAGACTGTTGAGTTGTTTTAAGTATTTGCCTGCAAATTACCATTCAAGTAGTTCTGCCAGTATTTGTCCTGTATGTGATGAAAGAGTTCTACCAGTATTTGTCTGTTTGGATGCAGGTGGACGACCAGATGAAGCTGCTGCAGCATTCGTGGTCAGACATGTTGGTGCTGGATCACATGCACCAGAGGATGCACAACAGTCTACCGGACGAGACGACGCTGCCCAACGGACAGAAGTTTGACCTCCTCTCCCTCGGCCTACTGGGAGTTCCCTCGCTAGCAAACCACTTCGAGGAGATCACTCGCCACCTTCAGGAACTCAAGTTCGACCTCTCCGACTACATTTGCGTCAAGTTCCTTCTCCTTCTAAACCCAGGTAAGCCTTCTAATTTCTCTCTAGTTCAAATTCTCTGACAATATTTGTGTTAAGTTATTTTCTCTCCTAATCCTGGAAGTTTCCTAAAGTGCTCATCATAAGGTTCCCCCTCAAGCTCAACCTGTCTAGATACATTTGTGCCAATTTCCTTCTGCTTCTAAACCATGGTAGGTTGTCTAAGGTTTTCTTTGATAAAAGTCCCCAACTAAAATTCTTTCTTCGCAAACAACTTTGTACCTCAAGGTTGCTGGGATTACTCAGTGTGATCCTCCTAACACTCAGATATTTGTCGCACATTTGTCAAGAAACCGTTTCTTAGGGCATTTACTAAGAGGGTGCAAGCCTCTAGTGTATGTATGACTAGATTCTTTTGGTCCCGTTTTCATATCTTAACCCTTTTTAAAATCCCAATGTCTGTAAGGCAACAATATGTACACTGTAGTAACAAACGGTTTTGCTGATTTGATGTCTCCTTATAAAAACTTAAAAATAATGCCAATAGCATTAAAGTGCACAAGATACGTCTTTGTCCATAACTCCGGCTAAAAAAATACTCAAATCTAAATCTCCATAATTGATGTTTGTTTCCTCAAATCTAAAGAATCTACACTAATTACCGTACTATCAAGTAGTTTGAATAAAACAGGTTCTTATAATAAACAAGGGGCTAGATAAAGTGATTTAAATTGTAGGGTGTGTGTGTAAATACTACAGTCTTGAGCCCCAAAGTACTCCACTAAGAATGTCAAATTTATCTTAATATGTTTTATATTGAGGGTAAGTTTTCATCACTTAACTTGATTGTATTTCACAGATGTGAGAGGGCTGATGAACCGCAAACATGTACAAGAGGGACACGAGCAAGTACAACAAGCGTTGCTGGAGTACTGCGTCCAGTGCTATCCTCAGATCTCGGTAACTATACTCTCTTCCTGTTGCAATTTTGATTTTGTAAAGCTTTATCTTAATTTCAAAATCTTACTCTGGGGTAAAACTCTGTCATATTGCTGATTACATGAGGTTTCAGCCTTATTGCTGAAGACAACTATTTTGTACAAATCTAGGTCTTCGTGTGATGACCGAGTTGTTGTAAGACTAGAGGCCGACGTTTGGGATGCGTGGCAGCTATCCATCTTCGAAGCAAACTAATATTAAACTGAAGAGGTTTGTAGGTTTTATAATTGATATAACCTAAGACAACATGGCCGACCATTTCAGTTGAATAGTAGTTTGCCCTGCAGATGGATTGCTTCTAGGTATCCGAAACGTCAGCGTCTAGTATTTCTAATTCAACATAGGTCATCACATGAAGACCTAGATTTTCTAGTTGTATGTAATAAAGGTTAACCTTACTTCATGTTTTATTTGGTTTCTATTGTATACATTGTTTTACAAACAGCAGCTCAATCATCCATAGTTTAAAATGCTAAGACACAAGTGGAAGATCCGTGGAACCAAATTTTTAGGGGTTCCAATTGAAAACTTGATATAGTGTATCATTCTGATCTTTGTGATCCATAATTCATGCAAGTTTTGATAATTCTGTTTGATAAGCTCAAAATTAAGTGTTTTGGATTTACAATTTATAGCTGTTTTACTTGACTATAGGATACTTTTTCTATTGATAGCTTCATAGACATTAGTCCTACTTTAACTAATTTACATGTAAGCACATTGTTCTGGCAGGAGAGTATTGGTTATTTCACAAATTGGTTCTAATAATGACTTCTTTTGAAAACTGTTTATCAGTACAAGAATAAGTCCATGGGAACAATTTTGACTTTAGAATTTTTTTAATTAGAACGCTTTCAGATCTTCAGTAGCCATCCGAAGCTATTAAAATCCTAAAACATTTTGAAAACAAAATTGAGCTCATTGCCTTTAGTTTAGAAGACGTGATCTTGGATTTCCATTCTTGACTATGAAACAAATTGTTATCCCCTTTATTTGGCTTTGACAATATTAATAATTTAATAACCAAGACTCTTCTGTGAATGGCTGAATACATAATTTGTTTAGACAAAACAAGGAAATTAAACTTGTTTGGCATTGTTTTCAGGTTTTCGTCGTCTGTAAGGTTTTGTTTGTTGGTCACCAGTCTTCAACTGTCTTTACCTGACGCTTTTTTTGTTAGACAATATGCTTCATTTTAATTTAATTTAGGCCTGCCACTTTTACATATAATTTTTTATATAAAAAAAGTGGAATTAACCGATAATCTCACTTCATTCAATAAACTTTGTGGTAGCTCCACTTGCCAAGGATGTATGATTATTTAAGCTCAATTGGCTTTATAGTTTCTCTAATTTAGACACTACCTACAATAACAATAGCAGTAATTACAATTATGTACACCATTTTTGATTCCTGGCTTTTACAAGAAAATAATATACTGCATAGTAGAATTTTCAGATTAGTTTTGTCAATGTCAAACCTTTTCAATTGTTTTAATGTAGCCTATCAAAACTTTTACTTTCCGCTTAATAACACTTGGAATAGAATTGTTTTGTCATTTATTAAGTGTTACACTTGTTTATTTAATAGCCCTATGAGTCATTGAATGTGTGAATTATGGATAGCAATGATATTTTGTGAATCTTTAAAAACCACACTCTCTGTTAAAAGGTTATTATTGTTCACTCTCTTAATGTACACTGTTACATTATATTTAATACATTAACCTTATTTATTATTTTGTTTAGGACAAGTTTCATAAACTACTTGCGTTGTTGCCTGAGATACATTCATTGGCTAGCCGAGGAGAAGAGTTTCTATACCACAAACATTGCAACGGCAGCGCACCCACACAAACTCTCCTCATGGAAATGCTGCATGCCAAGCGGAAATAACCGTCACGTAAGTGTTCAGTTCATATAATTGTAAACTGGAAGAAAATTTTCAATATTGGGTGTTTAAATGACATGGAGATTTCCATGACCAGGGATTTAAGGACTGTTAAAGCATCCTAAACTCATCTCCATTCATACTTGGCTTTAAATTCCTACCTTCGTATGGTCGCCATTTCAGTAAAAAGTATTTAAGTAGCCTCTCTAATGTGGTTGTCAATTTTTTATAGTATATATTTAAAAGTGCTTGATCAGCCTAACTCTCTACGTTGGTCTGGAACTAGTTTAGGTCACTGTCAAGGGATTGGCAGGAAATAGCATAGTTTCATAATATCTTTGTTGCACAGTTACCCCCTTAACTTACTCATCATTCAAACCTTATAAACTAAAACATGGGACTACAACTTTTTCCAATGGGGTTAAATTCTAAAAAGTACAAAATATTCTGTGCCTTCTTCTTGGGTTATTTCCTTAGTTATAGTGTTTTAGATTCTCAGCATTGTTTACCTTTTACTTAGTTTAAACTTTTGTTGCAGCGGGTATGAAGATGATTGTGTCGCAAGCCAAGCAGGCGACGCAGGCTGCTCGGACCAGTGCAATAACAGTGCTACAGTATTACCAACATTACCAACACGTGTCGTGATAGTGCGGTGACGGACATTCCAAAGGCCACCGTGCACAAACATGCCTTCTAAAAAAGTACAAAAGTCATAAACACTGTTAAGGAAATACCGCAAGAAACTAAAGGCATTATTCGTGTAGTATTGTGTACAGGCTATGGAGGTTCAGAACCGATTCGTGTTTGTAAGATACATTTGAAAATTAATGTAATTTATATGTTTTTATCGGATTATTGTATATAACGTACAATATGACGGAGGGTGTTTTGTAATGCTTTTCATAAAAGCAGATAACTAAATGTGATGAACTTACACTTTGGCGAGTGTAAGTGACCGTAACATTGGTTCTGGGCCTCCCTGCAGCAAACTGTTGTTGCTCATTTTATTTTAAATTGTAATTGTACAATTATTTACGTTACATTCCAGTTTGTCGCTCTGGAAGGGATTGTTTGGGCATCAAATCTGTTTAACTCTCGTCTTTTCGTTTGTTTTTTTGCTTCCTAATGTTTTAAGGTCTCTCGCATTTCAAAAAAACATTTTCGGCTCTTCACGTTAACATTCCAAGCTTTCTTCCTCTCTTCTTCCGACAGCTCATTTCTTCTCCGCTAAATTTGAATTCGGTTACGGTCATTTCTAAACTTGGCACTGCTCTTCTCTAACTCTGGGGTCTCGGTGATGGGACAAAAAAAGTTTCCTTTAGTTCGTTTAAGTTATAGGAATACAGCCTCTAGGGCGGCGTGTTCATGTTCATTAAGTTTAATGTAAAGAAATGTTATTGTACTTGAATAGGTTTAACGAGTGAATGAATAATGTATTTAAATTTGTATTGTATATTGTTAATCGCGAAGTGTTGTCACAGTTACCTTAATCGCCTCACCGCACACAGCTCCTCCAGGACTTGTGCCTCCGATTTCTCTATCTTTTTTATTTTATTAATACTTGACCGATTGTCGTAACTAGTGTGAATTTGTACGTATCGTGTATATATTATATGTATGCCTGTGTATGTGAGAGGTAGGTCTGTGTGCGTAGAGGCTTCCTCCACTGTTCACTGCCACAAATCCACGATCTGGCAACTTATCCGTTTGTACATTTGTTTTTATAAATCGTCTAATGAAATGTGCTATTTTGGTATGTAGAGTATATTTTTATGGTTGAGATTTTAAAATGATGCTGGCCGTGATTTAAACATTGTGATGCAAAGAGAATTTATTTTTAAAAATATCTACAGTTGACTTGTAATCCGGTTTTTAGATGTTTATTGTTGTTAAAGATAAAATTTGTAGTTTTATAGTGTTTTTTTCTGTAAATTGTAAATTTTGTATTAGATAACATCACAGTTTTACATTTTTATTATATAATTATTGTTTTGACTTTATACTATAATAGATCAACACGAATTTTGTAAATTTTCATATAAAACTGTATCAAGTTTGTTGAAAGTATCGGATGATAATTAGAGAATGTTTTATAGTATTTACAGGCTCAGCTGTTGAAAGTTCCATATTGTGGCACTTGTTTTATTTATCTGCTGCTTCTTATTGTTTTTATTTAGACCACTGTGTTATATTAAGAAACAAATTTTGTTACCTCAGTTTGTTGTACTTGTATTTACCATTTACAAGTCGCATTACCAAGTTTTACACTGTATATAGCCTAGTGCGCGTATCCGTTGTAAGGATAAGCGAGTTCATTTTGTTCCTGGATTCTGGTAGTTTCACAACAACTCTCAACAATTTCGTGTTTTCAGCATGATCAAATGTTGTAAAAATAGTTTGTATTTTCAAAAATATTTATTAATTTTTTTAGTTAAAAATCAGGTGATACTGTCCAGTTCCAGCAGACAAAAGTATTTGTGAATGAATTGTAGAAATGAATAAAAACCAAAACACATATTTTAAATTGTTTATAGTTGTACCTTTTATTTTACCTTGAATAATACTACTGCAGAACATGTGTTAATTTCCCTTTTTATTGAGGTTTTGTTTTGTCACACTTTCCCTAATTATTTCATGGCATGGCTATCAATCATCCAATTATATTGTATTCATATTCATTTGAGATAGAGACGCCCCCACCTCTGTGAGTACCTATGTTAACCCATAACATGAGTGTAGAATGGAGTGTGATGCCTTGTGTAGCTTTGTCACTGACAAGACCAGATGATTCATTAGTCAGGAATCAGGATCATTATTGTAAGCTCAATCAAAGACAGCTGGGTCTAGTTTCAAACCATCAAAAAGCTACGCAATTTTCTCAGGATCGAACAGATGGCATAAACTGAAGTGGCATTCATCAAAACGATCGCTTTTGTTATTTTACAGTTACAACCCTGTATTTTACATACTGTATCAAGTAGCTGGTTCAGTCCAATATCAGTTGGTTCTAAGTCAAGTTGCTATTGATTATGATGGCACTAGGACGCCTCCTCATATTGGAAGAAGTTTGTGCCTACTTATGTAATCGGAAATTTGATCTTTGGAAGGATCTCAACGATAGTATCAAGTAAGTCAGTCAAAAAGGTGTAGACCATGTATTGAATAACTTTTAAAGACTGGGATCATGGACTCACAGTGACTCAGGATAAAACAATGCCGTTACTAATCATTACAAGCAAGAGTTTCTTAAGCCGATCATTACACGTGTCTGAACTATTTGGCTGTTGGATCAAAGTGACCATGATGGCACCATAGTCAATTACTGTAGTCAAGTCAATGCTTAAAAATAGAAAGGTAAAGCCAAGGGGTTGTGTTGCGGTAGTGGGAAATAGTTATTTGTGCAACTAGTGAGAAAAGTGAGCAATTGACTCACTCGAGAGAAATCCTTACTCACGAGCCGTAGGCGAGTGAGGAATGGTTTCTCGAGTGAGGCAATTGTACTTTGAACTCGAGTTGCACATTATACTTTTCCTACGGTTACCATAAAACAAATAAATTGGTGAAGAAACATAACCTATGTTTACACAGAAGTGAACTTTTAATATAACATTTAACGTGAAGTGACAAATACAACAGTACAACAGCTGACCAGCTGATTTACAGCCAGTGCTGCCAACGTATTTCGCGCGCATACGACGTTGCCTGCATGTTACGCGCTCAGTATTTCATGCCTTCACGTTGCAAATCTGGAGTGAGACAATGTTAACATTGTCTCACTGATGAGCGAATTGGCCACTTTGCTTTCTCAAATCAGTGAGAGAACATGTACATTGTTAGGTAACTGTAGGAAAATGCAATTTACAAATATCCATTTCATTCACAGCACCAAGAAAACCAATATTGATTAAACGAACAGAGTATCCTTAGTCTATGCTCCAATATAAAACACATGACAGGCAATGAAGCAATGAAGACAGACAAAGTAAGAGACACAGTGATGGGACAGGCGGTCGGAAAACTTCGTACTGTAGCAAGCATAATGTGCATTAAGATCGGCCTGACGCTTCCTACAACGACTGGGATTTCAAGGACGCAAAGTTACAAGTCCTTTACTACTCCTATATTACAAGTCATTCTACTCTCTTAACCAGAATACAAAATTTAATGTATTTTCAACACTTAAACACTTTATAAATACAATTAAACTAACCTTAATATTCCCTCACAGATTTTTATTTGGGATTATTAAAAAATATTTTTTTTTATTGGGTATATTACGTTACTATTCCTGAAAATTGGTGTTTACTTGAGTGTGGTCGTTTCCGTGCGAGACAAAGTCGAATGGGGGATTACCATACAAGTCCGGTAAACACATTTTGGACGAGTTACATACAATATTTTACGCCATACTACTCTAAGCTAACTTGACAATAAAAAATTGTATAAATCCTTATAACAATGATTAAAGGACTAACAATCGCTACTCAAAACTTTGAAGAGAGGTTATGTTTTTGTTTATAACCACTTAGGGTGACGAGCACCAAATCAGTAAAATATACTACATTAGTAAGTGAAACTTCTGTAGTTAAAACACAAGAAGTATTCAACTACAGAAGTATTTTACTACTGGAGATTTGTTTGGAGAGCTCAAGTACAGGATGCTTCTTTAGTTAAAACTTCTGTAGTTTCTGTGAATACTCTGTTAGTTGTGCAGTCCCACGCAGTACATTACCTCAAAATATAGAAATACTGCAATATTTATTTGTGTTTAGTGCAAATTAGTATTAAGCTTCAAGAGTTTTGTGTTGAAAATTGGTTTTTATTGTTAAAACCTCCGTGTTCAAATAGTTAATTTGTTTAATTATTTCATTTTCATTTAATTTTATCTTTTTTATATTTATTTTTATAAATTTGATTATAAAATTAATATTTAAATATTAATTTATAAATATGCGGAGAGAATAAATCCTTGTAAGGTCTAAAACGATAAACGTAGGGCACATGCAATATCTAATTTACGATTATCTTCACAGATTGAATTATTATTAGCTATTTTTAACCTCAATTAGGAAATATAGATGTAAATCATACATACACGATGTACTGTGTTAATTTATTTGTTTCAAATCGACAGCTACCCCATGTATTATCTATTATGTGCTACATGTATTATCTATTACATGCGCCCCACGTTTTTTGTTTTAAATCTTACAAGTATTATTTATTCTCTCCATATATTTAAAATTATTTTCTACTTTTTAGGGCGTTTAAAAACGTGGTATTTTAAAAAAGTATTTCATGTATAAATTAGTTTCTACTTTTTTGTTTATTTTTGTTTTACTAATTAAAAATTACAGTAATAGGTAATTAATATTTCAATAGGGTCTCTCTTATCACGAACCGTACTGCATTTGGTGCATTCAATAAATAGTCTATGTAGGCCTATTCAGCATAATCCATGGTTAACATAAAAACATAATCTACTGAAAACAATATACATGGTTAACCCTATTTAAAACGAAATACTCCATAACTTACACCTACTAGGGGGTAGGAGTTTATTTTAGCACAAATTTATCATTAACTTACTAGTTTAGTACACAACTATACACTGGTGCACACCAACCTTAAATTTTCTCTGAAGAGTAATCTACAATACTCCTGGCGTAAAACACTCCTGAAGTTAGAATACTAAAATAGTGTATGTAGCAAATGAAGTCACTATTTTCCTACTACTTTAGTTATATACTATATTAGTTTGACTTTCTCCTGTTTGGTGCTCGTCACCCCTAGTGTCAAATACAGTAGAATCAGCAGGTTGGCATCCGGTAAAAACTCATTACAGTAAAGTAGTAAGTAATGAAACCCCATTTGATTAAGCTAGCGTAAACAGTTATTTTCTGGATCGGGAAGAACTAATTTTCTTCCCGTTACTCTGCATATGATTTTATTACATCTTTCAAAATGCTAGGTCAAGCATACCATGTAATTCGTTAATAAATAATTTCCACCGTCCTATGATGAATCTAAATTTTTAAAGCTATAATATCAAATGTAATTAATTTATTTTACAAAACCAAGCGAAGAACGAGTGAGCCAAACAGCTAGTCACAAATAAATGTTTAAACAGCAAATTGAAAATTAAGAATTAAATCTTTATTTTTTAAATTAATTTATTCCCTTATTTGAACAGGGTTCACATGGAATAAACACAGATTTCACCACTTTAAGGAAATAATTTACATTTTCCATAGAAATAATAAAGTAAAAACTAAATATAACTGTACATACACTAGTGATATAAAAAAATACATTCACAGATTAACAAATCTTTTAACACACACTTTCTGTGGTCTTTACACACAATACAGTACAGACCAAGTCATTTGGAGGTTCCCCTTGACTTCATGCAGACTTGGTTCTTGCCTGACCGTGTGATCTCCTGTAGATAGTCAGGCAGTGGGGTGTTGATCATGTCGATGCTAGACATGTGCTTGATCATTCCCACCAGGTTCTTGGACTGGAGACTTAGAGCCATTGTGAAAGGTTCACCTTGCATCCCAGGTATCACATCTCCTCTCCATACAGTGTTTGCCTGTTGACAAACCATGATTCAAGTGTGGAATGGAGTGGGATGAGCTACATAAGCTTTGTTACTGATCATGAGCTGTTTTTGTTGAAAATGCCTGCCTTTTGTAATTTTTAATAGTCATACTAAAGATGATAAGAAATGTTTATTATCAGGTGTCTGTTTTGTTAGTCCAATTTTTGTTCCATGTCTTGTAAATATTGATCGGATATTCAGTCGGTTGGTTTATAGTTTAAATTTATTTTTCATCGTAAGATTTTTCCTTAACACCTCCACTTGGAGAAAATCAAGAGTTTTAATGCCAGGATTTAGTAAAAGTTGGGCTCATTTTGTCCTAGGATTTGCCTATTGCACATTTGCTAAAATCATTGAATCTTGTTCTACATAGAGTCGAGTCCGTTAACACATTGCCCTTTCATTTTTTTCAGTTTACAAGTCAGGTTTTAACCAAGGACAAGCCAAAGATTAGGAGTGTTGCTAGTCTAATGGTTAGTGCCTCAGTCTTTGCGAGAGGGAGAGGTCCAATTTGGGCATCAACTGTTATTTTTCTTTGTTGATTTTGCCATTTACTTAGTGTGGTAGTAGTTATCATGTGTAATTTTGAATATCTGGGTCGCCGCAAATTTTATCCCTATGGAATTTTACCCCCTGGGCAAAGCTGACTTCACTATGACGTAGTAACCTGAGTGCTCTCAGGTTTGTTCGCGGGCGGAATTTTATTCCTGCGGATTTGGGAGTCTAATGAAAATAGACAGAGCGTGATAAATTAGATTAGCAATGAAAACCGGAATTTTACCCCCTGTTCATATAACTAGCATTTAGTCAACTGTAGATGTACGGGCCGGATTTTTACCCCCTGTGCAGATATAGAAATTAGTGGGAATAATTTTTTTTCATTAGTCTATCTCAATGAATTTGTAACATCAACTAAGTAAACAGGTTTCGCTTTTTAATTTTGAGTATGATAAATCGTTAAGTAATATAACAAACAATGAATTATCAGAACAATGAACAATGAACTAATAAACAATGAATTATTATTATTATGGGCTACTCAGTTTGTTAACATACATATTAACCAACAGTTGGCCCAAAAAACCTAATTTCGAAACTCGAATCTCAAAATTAAAACGCAAAACATGTTTAATTAGTTGAGGTTACAAATAAATTAAGATAGGCTACTTAATAATAAAATTTTTACTATTAAATTAAAACTGAAAGAAGAAAATTAATTATTCTCACTAATTTCTATATCTGGCCCGAGGGGGTAAAATTCTGGGGGTAAAAATCTGGGCCGGACATTTTGAGCCGACCTCTTGAAGAGGGTAAAATTCCAGTACACTCCAGGTTTTATAATTTTATGTGGTCTGATTAAATTCATAAGCGTGAAAATGTTCTATTAATATCAGAATCACACAACTACACATCTATTGATAAGAACATGGAAATAGTTGAAGTATTACCAAAAAGTTTTAAGCTTGATGTTAAAGAAGAATTCACCATCTACAAAGCTAAAAAACTCGACCCATTCAACATTTTAAATGATCAGACTTCCTTCCAGTCAAATATTATATTTGATACATATATTGACAAGCTACAAATCAAAGAAGTATCAAATAAGAAGAAAACAAACTGAAATACAGGTGGCACTGAAGAGATAAAGATAAAGACACCTCATGATTCAGTCAGTTTTATTTAGTCAGTGACAGTGATAAGACATAGCTGGCCAGCCTTTACAGTTTTATCACCTTTTATTCAATTTTAATAATTTGATCAACATGACTAGTTTTTACTATTGTGATTCTGACAGTGTTTTAAAGAATCTTTTGACATACCACAATGTATTAATACATTGATGATGTGGTTGCATACAATGACCTGACGATGTTCTAAGGAACTAAACTAGTTGTCATACCAGCAACTGTGGTTGGATAAGGTAATTATTCTATTTTATCGATGAAAATATTTGTTTAATTCAACAATAATTAATTTATTGAACTGATGTTGTACAACTCAAAAGTTCGCAGCCAAAATTTTACCCCCTAGTTTGTGACGTCAGTTTTTCTCAGGGGGTAAAATTCCACTACCCTGAATATCTATGGCCAAGTGGCCACTTAGTTAGATAAATCTAATAAAAAAATAATAAAAAAACTTGAATCAGGACTGGACAGTTGACTCATGCACACAGTTCTAAATACAATATAGATTTAACATTTTTAATGTTACTTACCCTAACATTGAAAGTTTCCAAAATTATCGGATCTTTTGTGTCAAAAACTCTGTTGACATAAGTCTCACGTGATTGCTTTTTAGAAACATCAAAGTATCTGTGTCCAACTCTGACAGCTCCTACAAAAAATTAATTGATTTTAAGTCATAGTAAAATAGTTTTCCTGTAATAATAGGCTTTATGAGTATACTCTACTCAAGAGCGTTGAAAATATCTTCTAATCTGAGGTACTGGTAATATAACGGAAAGTGGTAATAGTGGTTTAGTAGCAAACAAATTCAAACACTTCAGTAGGGTCTTGGTTATTCCAGCTTAACAATCCGCGGCAAAGGCTGAATAAGCAGAAATGTCTAATGACACAGAGAGTAATAACTAACATTGTAAATGTTGTTTAGATATTGCAATTTTTTACATACAGGTTTGATAGTTAAACTTGTTGGTGAGATAGTGGCACCATAGACTTTGTATTTATGGCAGCAATGTCATTGGTTCAAATCTTGGTACATGGCACTACACGTTATCAGTGCCGGTCAACTCTTGTACTTCACGGCTCACCCCTTGCTTTGCTTTTTATGGCTTGTGGCCTATTGTCGACGAGCAGATAGAAGGATAGATGAGGCTGCCGGCCTCTTAAAAAATATTAAGTGTACTTAATTAGTAAAATTACATTATATTCAAACACTATATTTTGCCATTGCCTTATGGATTCTAGCTGTTTGGGGTTTTCTGCCTGCCAAATCTGTATTCATTTAGATGCATAAAGAGTTATTTGTTTGTATCGAGTCTAAGACAAGAGGGGTGTTTTACACATGCTTGAGTGTAAAACTCAAAGAGTATGTACAGGCACCTGACGCTTTCATCACATCTTCAGAGAAGGCGAGGGTGGCAAAAGGGGTCGTCTGAAAGAGAGGGTAAAATAAAACTGGTCAAATAACTCAAGATTGGATAGTCAAGATTCTATTTTACTTTTAGGCTAGAATCTTACTTTTACTTCTTTAACACTAAATATTCAATGTTGACCGAGTTGAAGTTAGAAGAATAACAAATAGCAGTAAATCCAAACACAACTTGTCTCACCTTGAGTGCACGGAACAATTTGGTTGCTCCTGTTACTGGTTTTGTGTTTGAGTAGTGACAAAAGTGATTTGACATCACGGCCTTCGAGGTGCTGCAATTTGTGTTTTTTGTACTTCATTGCCCGCAGCAAGCACTGAAAAAATTGAGTATGTTGAAGGTTAGAGTGGACAGTCCTATCTTGAGGCGATGATACACCGTATCTCATAAACCATTTTCGGGTGAGAGCTATTTGGACAACAATTGAACAAAAATTTCAATGAACTTCCATCACCCTTGTTAAGAGTATTTCTGCATCGTATTTGAGATAGTTTAACCCATGCTTTGAACTGGAATGAAGACACAGTAGGGAACAATTACATAGTTTGTGGGTATCTTATTTTCCTAATTAATAATACATGTGTGATAAAGAAAAGTAGATGAAGATGATATTAAAAAGTCTAGTAGCTTATTAGACTTTTTTAAGTCTATGAAAGTCAGTACAGTAGACCCTCTATAATTCAGCACTGCGCCACTCCGGCACTCTAGTATTCCAGCGTCTTTTGACAAGTGTGGTCCCGCAATTGTGGCAAAGTTCTGATTATCTCTTGCGGCCGTGTAGTCGTCATCATCACTCCCGTGGTCACGGAAACGTGATCGTCGTCTTGTGTGATCGCGGCAAAATCATGAACATCTCCCGCGGCCGTGTAAACATTATCGTTGTCTTCCACAATCGCGGCGAAATTCTGATCATCTCCCGCAGCCGAGACATCATCATCACCTCCTGAGGTCACAGAAACACCATCATCGCCATGCGCGATAGCGGCAATAGCGGTTTCCGATCACGCGATCTTTGCAGATGTATTTTGTGATTTTTAAGTGTTTTATTTATGGTATCCCAGTATCACGGTCCTATATCTGCCGGATTACTGAAAGTCTACCGTAATGTCAAACTCATTTTGTGTTTTGATATTATTTTGGCTAAATAAAATGCAGAATTAAAAAACAAATAAAATACAAATATAGAAAATAGCAGTTTTTCAGAATAAGGTGCAGTTTGGGAGTCATTGAGACAATAGTGGTACAAGCTTTTTTACGTTACTACTTAGTACTTATGTTGACTATGTTTATTCTAAAAATGAATACACACCTCCATTGTGGTTTCATTTATTTTTGAAGCAGTGAAAATGTATGGAGTCCCAATTTCATAGCAAATAAATAAAGGAGTCATCAGTTTTATTCCTCTTCTTCTTGTCAGCTTCTTCTCAATTATCATCACCCATATTAAATCTTCGTGGGTAATAACTTTGACAACCTAGAGAAATGAAATTGCAGAAATAAAATCCAATCTTTGAAATCCTTTAATTTAAATATCGTTTTAGTTAATGTGTTCAACTATTAAAATTTTATCGAATTGTAAAAGATCAGTCATTATTATACTTTTTCAAAATTATTCTACTTGTTGCCATTTTCATTAATCAAGATATTAAGATAAGTTCAAGCCTTATTCTAGGCTGAACATTAAATGATTGACGATATTGGAATCTAAAGAAGATAATGTTGGTTAGAAAGACCAGTCTTACAAAACTGGAAGGAAGTAAAATATGTGAGGCCTCTGAACCATGTATTTTCCAAACAGCAAATGTCAATATTACATACTTGCAATAATTATTGTATCTTGTTACTTGAATTTGTGAATCAACAACTATCTTACACATTTGCCATAACTATGAGTACAATACAAGTTTATAAGTAATGGCAATGGAAAATGACCACAATGGTTTCTTGAACTTGAGCTCTCTATCACAAAAAAATATAAAAAAAATAGTAAAAGTGGTGAAGGATGAAATTTTGACAGAAAATGTTTAATTCAATGGTTAGGTAGCCTAAATATTAATCTGTTGCTCTTCAATATACCTGTGGCAACATGATCAACACTTATGAATGAGTGCCTTTTACTTAAGTTAAAATACTTTGAACATGTTTGTGGGGTTCGTGACACGAAAGCTGGCACTTGGGCCTGGCCCGGGCAGTGCAGACGTGGGGAGGGTAAAGGTAAGGAAAAGACCAGACTGCAAACATTCCGCAGACTCATGGGGTGTGTGCCTTGTTTCGTGTACTTAAGCACCTTCATGAGTAGAGTTAGTAGGCTTCGTAGTTACCTAGGCTAGTAGCGATCGGTCAAGTGCCAGCTTACATGTTACAAGCTGTAATAAATAAGAATACTTGGATCACTTACTGCATTAAGGCCCTTGATGCGGAGACCTTGTAGTATATTGAGCCTGATCAAATTTTCATCTGTCGCAAAAGACAAGTCATCAGCTGGCTCTAGAAGGTTGACAGGTGTCCACTTTTTCTTTTTACTGTCAAAAGCTGTCCCTTGGAAAAGATTAAATATTGTCATAGTTAAATATGTTATCCTTCCAACGGGCGCATCACGGAGGTTACCTCCGGGTCACTACTTTCTTCGTTATAAAACCCATAGTATGTGTCTGGCAGGGCTGTGGTCTGATTTACCTCACGAACCTCTTTTGCGGAATCGGTTTTGTATACTCTTACCCCTTTCCCAGTTGTCAGCCGACCTTGGGGAGTGGTTTGCACTGGAAATAATTTCCGTGAGCGCCCTGTGATGCGACGGGTTTCCCGGAGCCTAGTTCCGTGTGTGCCCTTGTGTTTGACCTTATTTAGCGATATTATAAAATGGATGAAGAAGAACTAATTGCGAGATTGTTGGCAAGTGTTGAAAGGGAAGACAAGGAAAAACATTTAGTACAAAAGAACTAATGGTGCATGAGTTCGGAAACCTTTTTTTTTTCAAGAAAAAGAGCTTTGACAAAATGTGTAGTCCTTCTAACAAATGATTTTTTGCATAATACAATGGGTGTTTTATTTCAAACACCATTGCATTTTTTTTCTAAAGAGCCTTGACAAAGTAAGTTGTCCTTATGAAATAATTATCTTTTTTCATTATAACATAGGTGTTTTTATGACATACACTGATGCAATTTTTGTCTAAGAGCTTTGATTGAATGAGTTGTCCTTGTACAAAATTATTATTTTATTAGACCATGTACGTGTGTTTGTGTCATACAATATTCAAATTGTGTTCTAATATACGATAGTACTGCATTAGTACAAAAAGTAAATGTTTTTTATCCACAACACTTACGTATTTTATTATTTTTTATTATAACATTTTCTATTTGATATACAATTCAAGCAATAGTTCATAAAACATATTTTTCATACAGTTTTATAGCTACAGTAGACTCTCTCCTATCCGTACTCCTCGGGACCGAGGCTAGTCCGGATAACGGTTTTTCTGGTTAAAACGACGTCCCCAAAAACTTGTTGAAACAGACCGTTTACTGTGGTATTCGACTTAAATTTAAGAGAGCATTGTATTTAGACACGTGATCACTGGTCTCAAATCTTTCCCACGAGAACAGTTGTTTCAGTATCGCCCATTTCCTGCCGATCTAGTCCGGTTCAAACAATGTGCTGATAAAAATTGTCCGGTAAAAGAGATGTCATTTCCGCCGAGTGTAGTCCGGTTAAACCGATGTCCAGTTAAAAGGTGTATGGATAAGAGGGAGTCTACTGTATTAATAACTGCTTTGTATATTTTAAACTCTTCTAATGTGTTTCTAGTCATACAATACTGTGATTGACATTTTGATTTATATCTGAATAGCTGTGGCTTATGTTCAGCGTCTTTTTTTCTTTTGTAGGGGGGTACGACCCAAACCCTGGTATTGTTACTTAATTTTGATGTTTTGTTGGACATTAACAAATTAAATTATGAACTAAACAAATACGGTACGCTAGTAGCATTCTATCTACACCATAAAAAATTATTATAAAGTAAAATACATACTGTAGAGCAATAATAAGTGATACATTTCTTCCAAATCTTGAACACTGAATGCCTGTAACAAAATAATCTAAAATTAAAACAAAATATCAATATTGCATAGATTTATATTTATTTGAAAATCTGGCAAACTACTGAGTGGGACAACGAGAGCACTCCGAGTTTCGTTCACTGTCACGGTAAGTAATGCAACAATGAATGAATAGCTGTGCATATAACATCACTCAAACTACCTGTAGTTTTAGTAAACATTGTACTGTGGGGTTAACACTGTAATTTTGCGGTGGAAACCTACGTTTAAAATGGCGATTCTTGTGCAAACACCCAGAGATTGTTTGAACTACATGAAATATTCCATCCTTGGTCGACATAGCACTGTTCCAGATTGGTAAACGATATGGAACTATATAAATTGGTTTAAATACCTGCTTCAATGTAATCCAATAGTTGCAATTAATGTCACGCAACTAGTTTCGACTTCATGAAGATGTCTAAATAATCACTTCATCAGAAGGTCGTCGATGCACATATGGTACATTCACACACAAACACGGACATAGTTACATTTACAAAGAGAATAAGACAAATTGATGGTAACTTTTTAAAGGATGATGAATCACGACCGGGTGAATATGGCGTCCAGACTCTGCACAATTAAACATAGTTATGAAACACAATGCATAATTGTACAAGTAACCTTTGTTAAAAATAATTGTTAGTATCTTCCAACACCTTTAAGCCCAGAATAGTTAAACAGCAACACAGTTTGTTCCTAGTAAAAAACAGTTACACACTCGCCGTTGATTGCAGATAAACCTTAGGCTAACTGTGTCACGTAGCTTAATAGGTACTTTTTTTTTTTGTTGATATGGAGACTTTTTAACTATTTACTTCCAAAAACTTTAGATGTTTTTGGGGTTTGGTCTGAAAGGGGTTACTGTAAGGACATGCACAGGCTTATTATGATGGGTGGGTTCATAATGTATTTTTGAAAAACGTTTCAGCACAGTTGGTTCAGTGGGCTGTGAGTTCGCCCATAGCAAACATGCAGACAGAAACCACTCCTTATTCCTCTGAATAAGGAGTGGTTTCTGTACTATTTGTTGTCAAATCTCTATTTGATGGCAAAAAAGATAAATCAAAACCTACCTGTGTTCTGCTGGACAGCAATGTCGCCACAGAATCCTTATCAGAAGGTAATCTGAGTTCACTCATTTTTTCTTTCACTTCTTCAGGTTCAAGATCGAAAATTCCAAGGACTACATCACTTATTAACTCTTTGAATTTAAAACGTTGAAGTAGATCCTTGATGTTCGACCTTAAATTCTTTTCTGGAACAAAATATAAACCAACGTAAAACTGAAAATCATTACCACGGTTTACACAGTTACCACCTATTTTAGTCAGCAGTAACTAACCAAACAGTTTGTAGGTTGTAGGTCTACTAATTTCTTATTTTAACACGTTCCCTACCGACCATCACACTCCTCTGTAACTGAAGGATGAATATAGTTGGTAGCTAATGTGTTAATACATTCCCTACCGACCGTCACACTCCTCTGTAACTGAGGGATGAGTATAGTTGGTAGCTAATGTGTTAACACGTTCCCTACCGACCGTCACACTCCTCTGTAACTGAGGGATGAGTATAGTTGGTAGCTAATGTGTTAACACGTTCCCTACCGACCATCACACTCCTCTGTAACTGAGGGATGAGTATAGTTGGTAGCTAATGTGTTAACACGTTCCCTACCGACCGTCACACTCCTCTGTAACTGAGGGATGAGTATAGTTGGTAGCTAATGTGTTAACACGTTCCCTACCGACCATCACACTCCTCTGTAACTGAGGGATGAGTATAGTTGGTAGCTAATGTGTTAACACGTTCCCTACCGACCATCACACTCCTCTGTAACTGAGGGATGAGTATAGTTGGTAGCTAATGTGTTAACACGTTCCCTACCGACCATCACACTCCTCTGTAACTGAGGGATGAGTATAGTTGGTAGCTAATGTGTTAACACGTTCCCTACCGACCATCACACTCCTCTGTAACTGAGGGATGAGTATAGTTGGTAGCTAATGTGTTAACACGTTCCCTACCGACCATCACACTCCTCTGTAACTGAGGGATGAGTATAGTTGGTAGCTAATGTGTTAACACGTTCCCTACCGACCATCACACTCCTCTGTAACTGAGGGATGAGTATAGTTGGTAGCTAATGTGTTAACACGTTCCCTACCGACCATCACACTCCTCTGTAACTGAGGGATGAGTATAGTTGGTAGCTCATGTGTTAACACGTTCCCTACCGACCGTCACACTCCTCTGTAACTGAGGGATGAGTATAGTTGGTAGCTCATGTGTTAACACGTTCCCTACCGACCGTCACACTCCTCTGTAACTGAGGGATGAGTATAGTTGGTAGCTCATGTGTTAACACGTTCCCTACCGACCGTCACACTCCTCTGTAACTGAGGGATGAGTATAGTTGGTAGCTCATGTGTTAACACGTTCCCTACCGACCGTCACACTCCTCTGTAACTGAGGGATGAGTATAGTTGGTAGCTCATGTGTTAACACGTTCCCTACCGACCGTCACACTCCTCTGTAACTGAGGGATGAGTATAGTTGGTAGCTAATGTGTTAAAGCACCTTTGTTGAAGTAAGTAAAAGGTCGTTCCTTTGGTGTGTTGTAGTCATTCAACAATTTAATATCATTTTGATGGCTAAGTGTTTTCATTGAACCAGCTCAATACTTCAGTGTTGCACATTTTTGGATTCTCTCTATCAGCAACCGATTTAGGTATAGTATTTATTCATCAATTTATTTGACTCAGGACATTGTGTCACACAGCAATAAAACATCAACAGATTCAACTAATTTTAGCTTAAACTGACTACCTAAGGTACTTCTATTTATTCAAGTTACTCTACATATCCCACCTCTCTTGACTTGCGTTGGTCTCATTCATTGATTCTGAACCCCCAAAAATAGGTATTTCCTTAAAACTGTTGTCATTTTAACTTTCTATTTTTAAATGACATTAAACTAGAATTTAAAATTTACCTAATTTTTGCATCATAAAACCCTTTCTCATAGCCCGGTCATGCTGGTTCACAAACTTGTTCCAATAAATTTGTAGGCTACTTACTGAATTTAATAAAAATCTGTTGATTTTTACTCATGTGCTAATGAACACAATAGCCTAGCCTATAAGTTTCAATAGCGGATCCAAGGGGGCTCAACTGGGGCAACTGCTTCCCTCCACAATACTTAGAGAACAAAAAAATAATATTGTTGCAAAATTAACTGAGCCACTGTCACACAAAAGTGAGCTTTAATTTGTCCTATTTAAAGTTTGTTTCCGCATGCAAATTTCCCGTGCTCTCTCGTACAATAATATTCATTGAATCAGTGCCATAAGACATTTAATATGCTTGCTGGAAAGCTACAATAAAATTGAATTAGGCCTTTTATAAAAACTAGGGTTGCTTTCAGAGAGGTGAAAGCCAGTTGAGCGGAACAAACGTGATTTGATATTTGTATAAGTAACTAAATGTAAAAAAGTCAATAGATGTATTAATGCTTGTTTTATTGATTATAATTGTAATAATTCAAATTTGTTTTTACTACATCTTGTTATTCAGACACCTCTTCCAGAAGTGCATTGGTAGTTTTGACCAGGAAAATATTACAGTAGTTGGAATCTGATATTAACATCCAAAAAGGGCATTAAAGTATAAAAAAGAGAAAGGAAATTTAACATTCAAATTCAACTTTAGCCTACAACAAAAACATTGGTGTTCATTTTTCACCCTTACAATCGGTTTAAAGTATTTAAGTATAAAAAACAGTAACTATTTAAAAACACATGAGTATTAAAGTATAACATCAGGAGGGAAAATTTTACATTTAAATTCAACTGTGCAACATAAACATTGGTCTTCATTTCAACCCTTGCAATCGGTTAAAATCAGCTTTCTTTGCTGAAAATAATTTATGATTGTTAATACCAAGTATTCTTGAAATGATTGTAATGTAACTGGAATGTAGGTCTTCCACCATTATTGGGACGATTTAGAGACGGCATTTTAATACTGGCCTTAATAAAACCATTGACCATTGGATACAGAAGATTTTGATGAAAAAGCTGGCTATAAATTTAACATGGGGATGAAATGTCTAGTTGTATTGATAGTCAAAGATAACCGTGGTTAAAAGTGTACTTCTATAAGTCCAGGTAATTAATTATTTACTTATTACGGTTATAACTGGACGTATGTATAGTCCGTGGCTTGGCAATCAAATAACAGTGTTCATATAGGATAGGCTACTGTTATCAACATTTGAAATTACTGAATTGTTACCAAATTACTGTTTCACAAAATGCAGATTCCATTTCAGCCGAGCCATTAAAATGAGGATTTGCCGAACAATTATTAATATTACAGAATAGTATTTCATGATGTACAACTTTTCACATTTCATAAATTATATGTTAGTTTTGCTATGGGCAAAGGTCCAAATCCAAATGTTCTTTTCTTTTGGTTTTTATGTAGTAATTTGCTACAATCATTGACTTTATATAAAGTCAATGCTAGAATACAGTAGATGGTTTGTTAAGACCATATGCAAACATTTTTGGAATCGTTTCCCCATTTAACCAACTATTCCAAAAGATAAAAATTATATGGTGCATCACAAATAAACAACTCGATCACCTACCTATAACCTACACTTTACCTTCCTAATCTAACCTTACTTCAAAACATTTAATGTAGTCACGAGTACTCATAAACCCCGACCTACCTTCCCCACATGCCTAAATTAGATCAGTGTTCAATCTGCGTTTTATTAATAAGTGTAATAACTTACTGCACCGTCGATGTAATTCAACATAATATACTAATCTGTGATGTATTATCGGATTAAATATCGATTTCGATGTGGTTCGATATATCGCTTATTAAATCCTGATTTCTAACATTGGCTGTTTCTAATCAGCTGGCAACACAAATAGGTTCCCAAGAAAGTAGTCACTGGTCCGTATCCCTCCGCTCCTTGTTTATGCTCCGCGCATTGAGAAAGTAGCTCCGTATATTTTCTCGATTTTCAGTGAATTCCGCGCCTTAAAAAAATGTTGTAATGGCATTTTCTTGTTTATTAAAATCATAGGAATGGTTTAAAAACGTTTAAAAGAAAAGTATAGAAAGTTCAGAAATACCTTATGATTCTCTTGTTTACATTTTTCTTGTAAACAAAAAAACTGTCATAGCTACTTTAGTCCCATAAGCCTAATGTTAAAAATTTAAAAATTTAAGTTCGTTTTAAATTGCATTAGCATTATCTAATTGAAATTTGTTTGTTTACAAACCATCTCATTATTAGTCTAAGTAGTCTTGTTAAGTTTGGCTGAAATGTGTTCAGCCGTTATTGAGTGATGGTGTTATATTGTTTGCATTGAAGTTGATCCCAAAGAGCTTCGCTCGCTCCGCTCAATTAAACTAATAATAACAGCTAACTCTAGTATTAGGAATAAGAAGCGTATCTTGGGCCACCGAGTCTTGATCGCACACGACATTAGTCACTTATTCTAACGCTAGAACAATTGAATGAACAAAAATTATGCGTTAAAATGCTAAAGGATTTTCCCATTTTCTTCTTACGATTGACTTGGAACTTATTGCTTAGGTAGGCCTAAGTTTTATAGAGAGAGTTTTGTAGGCTTAATAATAAATTTAAGCTTTGAATCTCCAAACAAATCATTAGTTTTTTTTGTACTTTCTTATCATGTGGAGGCCACTTATTTTCTAAGGATTTTTTTATCGGAGACAAAAAATAACTACATAATTGAAAAGAAAATACTTTCGACTTTCTGTCCAAATTTGAGATTACGATTAGCGGCCTTTGAGTTCTGCCTCCCAGAAGGCAGGGATGTCGGCGGGGATTGAGTTGTCGCCGCCACTAGCTGCCACATGCACTCCGCCAAGTAGGAATACAGAGCGCTGTGGCGGTTATGTTAAGCCTCGGTCACACTAGGCTGTTTCCGCTACTAACCAGCCACTGCTAAAATATCGACAGCAGCCAGCGGATATGTAAGGTTCACATTATAACCACTAGCCACCAGTAAATAGCCGGTAGTTTGTAAATGTCACCTGCTCCCACCACTCTTCTTTGTATTGTAAACTTCATTTCTAGATGAATCACATAGACTTTTTTCTCTTTCATAAGACCAAGGCTGATTTTAGTCTTCGTTCTTCAAATCTTTGACTTTGATGACTCATTATAAGCTGCGTCTTTGGTATTCCTGTCAATGAAGTTGGCAGACGAAGCATCCCTCAGGCAAGCATAATTTTGAAATAAATCTATAATTGTTACGATATGTTTTCCCAACCACTTGTTGGTGTCAACCACGTTCAATATTTACAAAATAAGTATAAAATACAGTAGGCCTACAACAAAACTAACATTGCATAAACAAACCAAAAATCTAGACTCATGTTAATTCACTAGTCGAGTATGAGCTACTAGGAGTTCACAGTGGCAGGCTGTCACCAGCAAAGAGGTCGAACGTGACGACTGCCAGCGGAGGATAGGCAGTTTTAAAAAGTTAAACATGTTCGACTTTTGATTTCGGCTAGTAAACACCAGCCCGCTGGCATTTACCAGCCGCTAGTGCTGGGTCAGACAAGGCTGCTTGCTGGCAATATTACCAGCAGCTGCTTAACTGCCTAGTGTGACCGAGGCTTTAGGTTGGGTTATCATAAATATGTTTGTAGGAATTTTCTCGTTTCGTATAAACGATACCAGATGAGTCATCACTCAGGACGGTGACAGGTGATGTGCGCGCTCCGGTCAACGACCTGACCCTAGCCTACTTGGAGGGGATTTGGTGGGCAAAAGTATGACTCATCGTTCGATTCATAACAAAACGAGGAAAGTCCTACAAACATATTTATGATAACCCAACCTAAGATAACTGCTGCAGCGGGATGTATAAGGGTGGCCTCCGTATAAAACGAAAGTACCGTTTTTTTTTTACGTAATCAAGTAGACAACTTATTATTAGGTAAATAAATTGAATTAAAAAAATACTATACATTTAGATTTTTTCCTGGGATATGATATTCATACTGTCTGTGCCTGAACATGTCCTTTATCACGTGACCATGGTACCTACTGCACGGGCCTATTTTTCCTGCAATACGGCCAACAATAGATTTTAATAGCTTAAGCGGTTCATTGTCATTTTACCTATAGGCCTAATATTGTAGCCTATGACCTAAATTTGTTCCTGGGATATGATCAACAAAAAACCAGGAAATCAGGTAGGCCTAACTTAGTTTGTATTGTGGTTGATACTGTACTGTGTGTGAACATGTCCTTTATCATATAAAGATAAAGATATTATGCTGTACGGCTCTATTTTCCTGTAATAGTGCCATCAATAGATTGTAACAAGCACGCACACTAGGCTATACTGTACTTAAGTTATTGGTGAGTTATTGGCAGATTCACACCAATAATCTGGAAATGCTTTAATTTTGTTAACCGGGGTTCTACTGTACAATATTAAATCGGATTTTATATAGAAACAACATACCTAACTTAATTATAAATATTTTGTTTAATAAGTTAACTAACTTATGTATAGCCTACGTAAACTTACTTTGCAGCCGTGCATAATTTGTTTGAACAGGAGTGGAGTTATTGCCGTCATCGATTGGTCTTAGTGGAGTTGAACTCATCTTGACAGCAGCCTTAGTACAGAATCTAAGAAGATATCGATAGGCCCTACAGGCATAGGAAAGAAAACACCTTGTAGGCCTAGGTCCGTAGGCTATTTAAACTGACTGCTTACAGTATAAGTTACAAAGTAGCCTAGGCTATAAGTTAAACTGGTCAGAAATACACCTAAAAAATGTTGAAACTAGCACTTTTACTTTGAGGATTAAACTTTATAACCATCAAGAACAAGAACAGCGATATCAATCAACTAGCAACAGAAACAAACAGGTTTGTTTTGTTTAGAGTAGATGTTAACCTTACCACTTCCAAGGTTTAAACAAATCAAAATAAAAATATTCCATTTTTTCTGAACATTTTGATATTCCCGCCTATTGTTTATTTTTCACATTGCGCAAAGCCCAAAGTTTGCTCGAAGAAAGTTGGTATTGATTATACATCACAGTGGGTCTTATTAGATCACACTATATGTAATATTATAATGCAATGTTTAAATCATATGTTCTTTTTATGTTCATGCCCGGGTAGTGTTTGAGTGAATATATGTGAATTAATAATCCTCATACTTAATTACTGGAAATTGTTGACAAATGACTTACTTGATCCCGTTGACTCCTCCCCTCCTAGAGCATAGGGCCTCGAATGTTCCTCTCCACTGGACCCCGGACCGCCGGACCCTGTTGGTTGCTTCCCTCTTGATCCCTTCCCAGGGTTTTCCTTTCTCCCTCAACTCCTCGACCAACGTCCTTTTCCAAGTGTTTCTGGGTCCTCCTACTCTCCTGCTTCTAGGGGTAGTTTGAGGTGGCGGGTTGACGTAGTGGCTCGTTGACTTATGCGTGCGTACACGACAACCAGCCACCTCGGAATCCGAGGCTCGGATAAATGTGCGATGGTGGGTTGTAGTGGTGGCAAGTTGTCATGGTGGTGCATAGACGTGTTCATCCACGTCAACCAGCCACCTCTTTAGTGTGGTGGCGGGTTGACGTGGTGGCTGGTTGACGTCTGCGTGCGAGGAGGTGGGTTGACGGCACCGAACATTGAGCGTAAACGACAACCCACCACCTCGTAAAAGAGTGGTGGCGGGTTGACGTGGTGGCACATTGTCGCTTACGTGCGGAGTGGTGGGTTGACGGCAACAAACATGGGGCGTAGACGACAACCCACATGCCTTCGTTGGCAAAAACGGCCGTTGCCCGTGCATTATAAAATGCATAACCTTTGCAATTGACATGACAATTTGTTATCTAGCTTACAAAGTACTGGTGGATGTGAAAAAATTAGTTATTGTTTTCATACTTGTTATTTTTCACATGCTTTTAAACCATTAAACATTATATTAGGTGAGTCAGTGCTCAGTTGGTAGCGTCGCGGACTTCGGGCCCAAGGTAGCAGTGTCGTGGGTTCGGATCCTGGTCACTGCCACAAACTTTTATCTGTACAGTTCACCTTTGTACTGTATTAGCTCACCCTTTTCTTTGCTGGATACGTTCCACGCACAGATCTTTAGTCTATGTGGACGGGCAAATGCAAGGTTAAAGAGGCCACCAACCTCTTAAACAAAATATGAAATCGTTTATGGTGACATTCTGGGCATTTTAAATAAACTTCGGGAACCTTTTACCTTTTACCTTTTACCTTTTACCTAGGTCCTCTTCTCCATAGTCGTTGAGACCTACCGTCAAAAATTCTTGTTTTTTCTTTTTCTTTCTTCTTTGGATATTGTTATGTATTGTTGTAGGGTGTGTGGTCTTCGAAATATTCATTTAGACTATAGTAGGGTTTGTTGATTAAGTATTGTTTCAGTTTTTTTAAGAAAAGGGTGTTTTAATCTATTGATTTCAGGTTGTTTGGCAGTGTGTTAAATATTTTAGTTCCTATTATTTTTGGATTTCTGCTAGTTTTAGTGAGTCTGTGTGGTTGTAGATTGTAGTTTTTGTCTGTAAATTTCTGAGGTTGTAGTTATGGCAGTTGTTTCTGGTTTGGGGGGGGTCATTTTTTAGGAATTTCATTATTTCTAGGATGTACAAGGAGGGTAAAGTTAGGATTTGGTTGGTTGTGAAAAAAGGTTTGCAGTGTTCCCTATATTGCAGTTGTTCAATTGATCTCACAGCTCTTTTTTGAAGTATTAGTAGCTTTTGTAGAAGGTAGTCTGCTGCTGAGCCCCAGGCTATATGATGCCATACCTCAAGTGACTTCAAGTGACCTATGCCTAAATTATGTATGCATTCATAGATGTAGGAATAGCAGTGCTGTTCAGTTATTATCTAGTGGTAAAACAATCTATATATTTAATAATGTAATTTAATAATTTAATAACGTATATAATAACGAGGTGGTGGATTGACGGCACCAAAATATTGAGTGTACACGCACACGTCAACCCACCACCTCGTAAAAGAGAAGTGGCGGGTTGACGGGGTTGCACGTTGTCGCATACGTGCACTCCAAGACAACATGGAGGTTTAAAATACGTCAACCCGCCACCATGGTGGGTTGCCGTGTCGACACGTTGTCGTGGTGGCTCACTGACGTGAGTGGCTCAGATAAATGTGCGGTGGCGAGTTCTCGTGATGGCACGTTGCCGTGGTGGCGAGTAGACGTGTATGTACCCGTCAACGTCGTCAACCTGCCACCAGTGCCACCACGGTTTTTTTGTGGTTGCCGGTTGAAGGTTGACGCCTCTGGCCAAAACACCAAACACCTAGAAGGTGGTTTGACGTGGTGGCGGTGGCGCCTTGACGACAGCGACAGCGACCAGTTTCAACTTACTTGCCTTTCGCTTTGATTGATGTTGATTGATACCGATACCCTTACTTTCTTGCTTGAATCTTGAGTGAGAAGCAAGAAGTAAGTTACTGACACTGTCCGTCAGGCGTCAAAGGATTTTAACATGAGGGAACTTCAGTAAACACTGAACATTTTAAGTTTTTTTTCTTCAAAATAATGCCATTACTAAATTTTGAGAACTGCAAATTAGTGACTTCTAGGTTTCACAGTGAGCAATAAACATAAGTTACTATTCTTGCTTTGGGTTTCAGGCCAATTAAAAATATTGTCAAGTTATGGGTTTGCAGTACCTAGTAGCTTAAGTTAAGTCTACGTTGTTCTACAAGTTAGCCTAGGCCTAAGTTAGGCAACATTGAATAGTGATAGGCCTAAGTACTGAAGTACTTCCTATGGCTGGAAAAAGCAGTGTTGATCCAATGGAAAATTTGCAAAAGAGACCTTCCAAAGGAATATTAAAAACTTCTTCAAGTTTTGAAGCTCCAGATGCTCCTCAAAAGTAAGTTCAAACTTTTCTATTAACTTAGACGAATTTAAAATTGTCCCAACCATTCCAAGTTCTTCAATGATTCTTTAGGCTTTTATTTTTAATATTTGGGCCACAGGGCTGCACAAACTCTCAAGGAAGGCAGTTGCCTCTAACTTACATACGGTAACATACCTTAGGCCTAGCTAGGCCTACTCATTTCATTAGTGATAGGCCCACCCAGTGCTTGATTTACAGGGTACGGTTACGATTACAGGCTAGGCCTGTAGGTTATATTAATATTTTTCACTATTAAAGGCCTATAAACATCAAATTGAGTTAAGTTAGGCCAAGGCTGGGCAGGCCTACAGTTTCTTAACTGTGCTATGTTAATATTGATTGAAACTACCTATCGATTCGATTTGTAACTTAAACCTTCATGCGATTTTTTCACCATCAGCAAATTTGGTTGGTTAGGTTATGATAGTTTAATTTTATAATAGATAGCCTAAGTATATTTTAAAATAGGCTATCGAATATTAATCAATGTTTTCAATTTGATAGTTTCAATCAATAACTTATTAGCGTAGGCCAGTTAAGAGACTGTACCCTAGGCCTATGATTTGTTTAAGATTTGTTTGATGTTAAATCAATAAAAACAATACACAGAGGATACGCGTTCGGTAACCAGACGTGGATTAGGCGTCCGGTAGGGGGTCCCGGAACGCCATTACCACAATGATACGATGTTCAGCCACTTCAGCCATCAGTGTTCGTGGTGTAGTGGATAGAGTGCTTGACTGATGTGCGAGAGGTCCCCGGTTCGAAACCCATCGGTAACTTTAACTTTTTGTCACAGATTTTGCTTTGAATGTAATTTCTTCTTAACTGTAACTTACATCTTTTGTTAGAATTTTTGGCATTTATAATTTTATGTTATGAAGAGAATTTAACCTTCATTTGTTTTTTTTCACTATCAGCAAGTTTGGTTGGTTAGGTTAGGTTATGACAGTAACTGCCGGACGCCTAATCCACGTCCGGTTACCGGTCGCGTATCCTCTGCGAAAACAATAACTTAATGGGTTGACTTCCGTAGCCTATCTGTTGGCACAGACAACCGAATTGAAAAATATTGTTTATTTGATTGTTTCATTCGATATAAGTTATGATTTAATTAGTTAGGTTAGGTTAACCCTACCTAACTAACCAAACGATAATGGAATAATTGTTAGCCTACAACTTATTGATTGATATTTTCATTCGGTTGTTTGTGCCAACAGATACGGAAGTCTACCCACAATGATAAGTATTGGCCTAGGCCTATTTCCAAAAACAATAAATTATTTAAGTTAATGACAAATTAAAAAAAACCACGCCAAAAACGGTATGTTTCAAAAAATTATAGCAAGGGATAGGCCTATTTTAGTCTTCAAAGAAACAGGTGGTACCACTGCATCAAGGAAGAAATCTCCTAACTTATATTATTTTATGGTGCACTACACTAGTATGTTACGTTACTAGGCCTAGTCCTGAAAATAGGATTACCATACGAGTCCGTTAAACACATTTTGGACGAGTGAGGTACAATATTTTACCGCCATTCTACTCAATCCGTACAAATCCTTATATAAAATATTGTGTGAATAAATAAATAAATAAAATAAATTAATAAATAAAATTAATAGGCCTAAATAAATATTAATATTACCATGACTAAATGACAACAATCGTCATAACCTCTAAGAGAGGTTATGTTTTTGTTTATAAACTAACCACTCTCAAGTTATCAACTGTTACTTTTCGTGAATTAGTTTATATCGTGATTATGAGTTGTAAATTTGTAAATGTTTAGTCAACTGGATATTAATTATTATTTGTGCCTTGACTGAAATGTGACATTACTTTTAAAAACTTGAGACATTATTTTTAGCCGGTTTTTGAGAACTTTATTGACTGTTTACCAACAACGAATATCGCGGGTGTGACGTGTGACTTTATCACTTTGATTGAATGATATTATTATTACCCTAGTTGTAAATTTGTACATATTCAGTTAGTAAACTGTTTCCTGAGCGGGTCGCCGGAATTTTATCCCTCTGGAATTTCACCCCCTGTTGGTTAATAAGTTATGTAAAATAAACTGAGTTGCTTATTTAAATGATTATTGGGTGAAAATTTCTACGCAAGGAAACAATAAGGCATATTTTATTATTGTTACAATACAAACGAGAAACATTATTTACTACGGTTGTATAATAAATCGTTAAAGAACTCTTTGAATCAATTACCATTCTGATGTTTGTTTATACGTCATATTTACAACAGTTAGCTTCAAAGATCGAATCCTGATACTCGAATCTCAAAATTAAAATTAAAAACCTGTTTGATTAGTTGATACCTATTATAAATAAATTAAGGTAGGACTAGGCTACTTAATAATAAAATGTTTAGGGTACTATTAAATTAAAACTGAATGAAGATAGCCTTCTCACTAATTTACATATCTGGCCAGGGGGTAAAAATCCAGGGGGCTAAAAATCCCGGGGGTAAAAATCCGGCCCGTACACTCTAGGATTTATAATTTGATGTGTTCTGATTAAATTCACAACCATGAAAAGTTACGTTTGATTCCGCGTTTAATCCATTGAACTGATATCGAAATTCAAACTCAAAAGTTTGCGGTCGGAATTTTACCCCCTGGTTTGTGAAGTCACGTACGCCCAGGGGGTAAAATTCCAGGGTAATAAAAATCTGCTACCCCTCCTGAGTATAGACTTCCACTGAATTTGAGGTTTACATTTAGCCCGTTTTTGAAACATTTTGCACCATAGGGAAGAAACAATTTGATCGCCACATGAAAAAGGCGCAGCAGCATTTTATATAAAACACAAAAAATATTTATTTATTTATATTTGCCTTCATATTTATTTATATTCATGTAGGCCTATGAGAATAAATTTACTTTCATTTTCTATAGTTAGTATCTGGGTTTTATGTGTTTGAAAAATAATAGGCTATAAAATACTGCTTTGAATAACAAAATATTTTTTTCTAAAAAATATAGGCTAAAGATTTATAGTAGGCTAATAATCATTTTCCATGAACAATTAATAATTCATTTAATTTAGGCCTATAATGTTGTTGCCTTTACAAAAATGTGTACCGTACCTTTACTACATTTCCTTTCCGAAAAAATTTATTCGGTTTTTGTTTTAAATTTGTGTCCCAAAATCGTGGATTTTTTACCTGAGACTAAAATTAACATAATTGGAAAGAACATACATTAATTGAATTACTGTCCAAATTTGACATGATTACGATTAGCGGTGTTTGAGTTCTGCCTCCCAGAAGGCAGCGATGTTGGTGAGGATTGAGTTGAATGCGTCGCCGCACTACACTCCGCCAAGTAGGTATACAGTGCGATGCGGCGGTTAATGTTAGGTTGGGTTATCATAAATATGTTTGTAGGACATTCCTCATATCGTTATGAATTAACCGATACTTTTGATGAGTCATACTTTCGCCCGCCTAATAGGCTACCCCCAGATACAGGCGGTGACAGGTGATGCACCCGCTCCGGTCACCAACCTGACCTTGGTCTACTTGGAGGAGATTTGGAGTGCGAAAGTATGACTCATCTGGTATCGTTCGATTCACAACGAAAGGAGGAAATTCCTGCAAACATAATAACCCAACCTAACATAACCGCCGCAGTGCGCTGAAGGGTGGCCTCCGGATAATACCAAAGTACCAAATTCCACATGCAAGGAGACATTCAACATAACTTAAGAGTAGTAGATGATTTTGCGTATTTAAAGAGATGTTGACTGGCCTAAAATATATAAAGCTTAAGGCAACTTGAAACAGTTTAACTTATTAGTTAAGTTACATTTTCTATTGGTTTTAAATATATATTTCTATAAGAGACCAAACTTTTCTTCTGACTAAATTTATAATTAACTTACACATTTTTATTTGGGATAACTTAGGCCTACAAACTATCGCTGAGGTCGGGTTTTTTGGCCAGAGGCTTAGTCCCGCCATAGATAAAACATACTCCCTTAGTAGATTTCTCATCCTTATGGAACAGCTGAAGACAATTTTATTGTTAGTTCTGTAGGGTTTATGTAGAGTTCGTGTTTTGTTTACAATTTGTTTCCCGTTATTACAGCCATTTAAAACCTTGTTTAACCAAATAATACGATCTTATCATAAACAATAACTAGTACCCTAGTTATATAACCCAACAGTAAAGCACAAATCAAGAAATTAACCCCAAAATAATAGAAACAAAGTTTCGTCGACACTAGTGCCCATGTGTCACGTACATAAACTAGACACGAAAAACGTGCTTCAAAATTTACAATGGGATGAGAAGTCTACTTGTGTTGGTTAGTCTATGGTCCAGCTGTGGCAGGTTATGAGGATTTCTATTGTATAGGATCAATGGTAAATACAAAGTTCTGCTGGTGTGAAAACTTCTCATCAAAAGCTAACATCACATTTTTCACACTTTATAGTAGGGCTGCGCCAGGCAGGGAGTCTTGCTACCACCCGGAGTTGCGCTACTAACTTGTAGCAAGTTGTGTTGTTCATTTTATCGACGGTACAACTGTGTACGTAAACAAGCAGAGGGCTAAGTACAGTAGATGTTTTATATTTATTTATTCAGGTTGGGAAGACATCAATCAGCAAAATAAAAGTTTTATTTGGCCATTTAAATTAAGTAGATACCATAAATGAAGTAGAAATAAAAACAACCCGTTACATTGATTGTCCTACAGCCTGAAGGCAACTTCATTCATAGACAAAACAGATTAGTTGAAGACAGAAGTTTCCTGGACTTAGGAATTCCATCAATGAATTGTTTGGGATATAAGTCTGCTGAGTAAATATGAAACAATATATTACATAAGATAGTTTACATGATGGGCCATACTTTTCTGTGGTTACTACCTAACCCTTTGTGTGCGTTGTTTTCAGTACTTTTCTGGTCAACTGTTTGGACCTTGATAATCATTGTATTTGTCTATAAAAAAATTTGTATCCTGTGTTTCAGGAAGGGGAAAATGTGCAAAAACAAAGCTACAAAGTGGGACGAAATGAACATTATTGCTACACTTCATCCGGCAGATAAAGACTACGGCCACATGAAGGTGGATGAGCCAAAAACTCCTTTTGAAAGAATGCCAGAGGATGATGATGTTGATGAACTTGATGCCCAGCTGTTAGCTGACAAGTACGTCCTTATCTTGTTGGTTCTTTTGGTTGTTAATTGTCTGATAGGTAGTAATTCAACCAAATTGTACAATTTACCTTGGAGATAAAAATTACTGAGGTAGGCCCCCCTACAATCTTCTCTTGGGGAAAAACCTTTTAGTACTTCAACACTTTCAATAATTCAAAAAACTCAATCTACTGGAATGCCTTTTTGTAAGCCAAAGATTTTCAATTCATTCTGAATGTATGATTCATTTTGGTATTTCAACTTTGAAGCAGAGTAGTTGAGGGCAGACTGAACAAGCACTTCTTCACTAGAAAATCTGCAAAGCTTAAATGTTTTTTACATCTAGTCGTTCCCTGTAGCTTGTTTGTCAAAAAAACAAAAAAAAAACAAATGGTACCATCAAACATTGATATGGAAATACGAAATTGCAAAGTACTGCTGTTTCTCAATAATTAACTGTTAAGTGTGAAACACTCTTTGTTACTGTTAAACTACTTGTTCCCCAGTAATGAAATTTTAACAAAAACAACATATCTTTTAAAACTGTTACACTCCACTAATCAATTTGGTAAAAATATAAACTTGTCTATTGAGAAACTTTTTTTCTTGTCTAAGGCGATAACGCCTATTGGATCGGTAAACCGATCGCAGAAATTGCCATAATCGTGACAGACAATCACCACTGTCGCCAATAACGGGTGTTGCTGCGGTCGCGGGAGCAGATTACTAAAGTCGCGGAGACTCCAAGTTAAGCTCCTGGGTGTTGCCGTAGCAGATTACTGAAGTAGCTGAGAATGCAATTTATGCTCACGGGTGTTGCCACCGAGGTCGCAGACGCTGCAAGTTAGCTCACCTCACGGGTGTTGCCGAGGTCCAAGGGAGACGATTACCCATGTTGCGGAGACTGCAGGTTATGCTCCTCCCGATATCCAACCTTTTGGCCGTTCTGACCATGGCCCGGTCCTGTCATGGTCGGATATGAGGGGTTCTACTGTATTTCTAAAAAAGACTGCTACATTAAACCCCCCCCCCCCTTTAACCACACCCTGTTAAACCAAGACACAAACCCAAGATTCAGATTTTGTGCTTACGCTTACAGTTGTGGATTTTGTTGAGCTAAACAACATTGCCTCTTTTATTTCGATTAGTTGGGGATTCAATGTACTATTATTTTATTCAAATTCAATATTAACTGTTTGAGTTTTAAAATGATCTACAAATAAAATCAGTATGTCTAGAGTAAAATTACATTTTTGTAATGCTCTTTTATGCTCAACCAGGATCCGATTGGGTAGTGCGCAGCCGAGGAAATGCTCCATTCCTGTAGAATCAGAGAGTGAAGGGGAGGAAGAGGAAACAGAAGAACAGAGAGGTAAACACAAATTTCTCTCTTTCATTACTATGTAGTTTCAAATGAGTTGGTTTTGCAATAATTATGGTTAAAAAACAATTAACGTACTAAAAACTTGGAGGACCTTCCTACAATTGTAGGCTGTCCATTTTTGTTATGACTAGACAAGTTGAATTGGAAAGAAACCAAGTAATACATTTAAATGAACTATAAAATTGGCCCTATTGATTGGATGATTTACAGATCACTGGCCAGGATTATTTTAAATTTTGTCATGAACAATGCTGTCCTGATTTAATATTGTTAGTTGCAATTGAATAACTCCATGTATAAACTCCTTAATAAATTTATCATCTTTATAAAAAAACTAATGATAAATTAAATCCCAGTCCATCTCTTATAATTTGTTTGTGCATATTACATGTGAGCGTATGGACCGCAGATTTAAACAAAAGCAAAAGACGTCAAATGTCTGCGACCGTGCATAATTTGAGCATGTGGAGACTCTTTCGACCTGTGTGCACAGCTATGTACACATTTTAGGCTATTAGACTCGGAAGTCTTACTGGGGTTACTTCAGACCGTGTTTTGGCTAATGGAGCTGGATATTCTACAATGAGAAATTTTCACAGAATTAAACTACATAGAAGTTTTCTGTGTATGTGGCAGGTGAAATATAAATAACGTAATGGCTGGGATGAGACAATTTTGGCTTATGAGGTGTTTTTAAACAAGTACAAAAAGTTTATGAAGTGGCTTTGAGAGGCACGGTTTAAAGGAAATATTTTCATTCCCTTTTTAATTCAGGATGGTGAAAAAACATTTAGGCCTACCAAAGCAAAATTTCCTTCACAATGGGTTAGACAAACTGAGAATTGATAGATGTGTGATTTACAAGTAGTGTGTGTGTGTAGTCTCGGGTTGGGCACATCTCTTGGCTAGTGTGCAGACACATTTGTGCAAACAATATACAGAATTATATATTTAATAATATTTTATCAAGCAGCCCGGGCTTAACTGTTCATTCTCTGGTAATATAACCAAAGTATAAAGGGCTCATTTTAAAATTTACCCTAAATCAGGAGAGACAAATCTAGTATAGGCTACTTAAGTGATAGTGCTTTATTTTTCATGGCTGATCGGAATTACAATGTTCGAGACAAGTTCTTTGGATATTTAAATTACTAGTTGCTATGTCCGTGCTTTGCAATTGGGTGAGAATAATAATGAGAAGATAATAATGTGGGTCTCTAAACCTACTGTAAAAAAGTTGCTCACTTACCATTACCATAGATCAAAGAGGCAATGTTCTATCGTACTTAAATATTGCTTATTTTTATGCTTTTGATATAAACTGTATGGCCGGTAGAATAGTAATGGCAAAACCAATAACTTTCTCGTAATGTAAATACAGAAAAACCAAATATGGGAATAAATTTATATTAGGAAAAATAAATAATTACAAATAAATCAAATGCATATTCAATATTTGAAATTTGTTTAATACAACCCTTTTAAGACATTCGCTACGTTTGTGTGATAGCCAACAAACTGGGTGCAATAGCCGATGTATTGATGGCCACCACCCCACCCTCACACTATACCTTACGCAAGTCAAATCCGACCACTCTTTTTGGACCACTCTGTAAATAGAAATATCAACTACCTACCTCAGTTGTTGTTATAATGCTACACTCTTTCAATTTGATATTTTAACCTCTACCACAGTATAATTTTTACTTGAGTAACAACTTGTAGCCATGAAACTATTTTTGTGTTGTAGCACTCCGGAAAGCCTTTGAAACCAAACGAAAAGCACATTACAACGAATTCTTGGCAGCTAAAATGGCCCGAAAGTACATCAATGATGAGGAGGAGGAGGAAGAAGATGATGACAAAGGAAAGGAAAGCGAAAACACAAACATCGATTCGAGAACAACCAAGTAGGAGAGGTTGGGAGAAGGCCTTGTCAAAATATTTGTCTCTGTGTATTTTACAGCTTCTGATTTATGCTGTAAAAAAGAATCTATTTATTGGTGTTGTATCATTGACTGTTTGAGACTGAAGTAGACATCCCATCTATATGGATCAGTGTTGTCAATTTTATATTAAAAAAGAACATAGTTCTGTGAGCCAGTCGTAGATTGTGCTACTATTTCCTACCTTATTTTAGCGAATTTTCCTATAGGGATGTAGCTATTACCATTGGTGGCACAGTAAGACCTAGTCCAGGGACCAACAACCTTTTTCATTTTGATGTCATTCAGAGGCTAGAAAAATAATTTGTTTTCGATTTTTATTTATATACGATCGTGAAACGATAACTTGAGTAATTTTGGTCCGATTTTGATGAAATTGGGCTTGAAGGTGTAGGGCAGGAAAAACTCGAATGAGTTCGCAAACCAGGAAGTTTTTAAATTTTGAAAATTAGTTTTTCCAAACTTCTCATAAAAAATTAAAATTTCAAATTTTTACTAAACGTGTAGAATTAAAAAAAAATATTATTTTCTAATTTCCATGATATTCTTATGTAGAGAAAAAAACCTGTTGTATATACTGGTTTATTGATATTATGTTAATCAAATTTGGCAAATTTATTTATTTAATCCGATACCATTTAACATTTTGTCAAAAAACACATTTTTTACTCACCCTGTGGCAGCAAACCTAAGCGTTCTTTAATTTTTATGTTATTTAAATAGGGAATGAATATGTCTTGTTTTATAGAAATATTTGAGCAAAAGTCCAATCAGACAAGTTAAAATTCGCTTTGTCTGCAGGTTTGCTGCAGCGGGGGTATTTTTTGTACAGAAATAGTTGATGTGACAAGAAAGATGCTATAGCTTACGAAAAGTCGTCTTATCAGTTAGACTTGGTTATAAATATTGCATATTAAATATCAAATTTGACTGAAATCAGTAGTTAACATCAGCCCAATCTGTCTCACTGCAACTATGTCCACTTGATTTTAAAACTGGCAACAACTTTTACATGGGGATGGAATGTCTAGGTTTGTCAATAGTCAAAGGTTGTACATAGCTGTATCATAGAGTTTTAAATTTTATGATTTCACAATGCACTAGTTATGCAACAGCACAACTTCAATTTCCTTTTATTTATTTTGCTTTTCTTCACCCCATGTCATTTTCTGCATTAGCACTGTAATGCAATCTAAGTTTTTGTAACTAATAATAGGGTGTAAATATATAAAATAAACAATAAACATTATGATTTGTTATTTTTATTTCACTTACTGTAACATCATATACTGGTCCTTTATATATTTTTTAAATGGTATTCTGAATAAAAAGGCTTACCTACTCCAACTTTGAAAAAAGTTAGATTTAAACGTGCTTGTTATTTAAAAAGAAATTACATTAACTTATTTTATTTATGAAGTGAAATTTTGCTTGAAATCACTCTGTTTGGTTCAAAATAGAATCATGGTATGAGATTGAGATTGAGCATTTGACCTATTCCATGCACTTGGTGGGCTTTTTCTTACTTCCTTTTTACTTTTTGAGAGGTTATGAAGTATGATAGAACTTCTTTTTCCTACAGTCACCCGACAAAGTGGGCTTCCTTGCACAGATTATAGTACAGCAAACCTTACTTTGGCGCACACCAGTATTCCAACCAAACAACACGAAACAGCGTGCTTTTATTATGCACGTAATCTGTGTACGATTGAAAATAAGTTGGCAACACTTAAAGATATTACAACTACGATCAGCTGATGCAGCGTTTCCCATTTCGTTCAATGTTTGGATTTAACCTAACGTAAAAACGTGTTTGAAAGACTGATTATTTATATGATTTATAGTAACTGTAGGAAAAATATAATGTGTAACACAAGTGCAAACTGCCTTTGCTGCACTCGAGAAACTTTTCATTTCGCCCACTATTTACACAAATAACTATTTTCTGTCTTATTAAGCTCAACTGGTATTGTGTGAAAGAAAACAGATTAAGACTACCTGACACTTTTAAACAAAATATATGTACCAACAAACATATATATTATTTTTACTATTAATATCTTGCATAGCTACGGAACACCCATCTTTGTAATGCTCATGCTAAGAGGGGCACTCAATCTGGATTCCTTGAGAAATATTGAGCTATTGAAATTTTGAGAACTACAAATAAAATTGGCTTATGACCAAACTGGACTTCGCCATGCGATGAAGCCAGAACGTATGAGTTTTCTATGACTTAGTGGACAATGATTTTCTTAATCGTAATTTTTTTAATGAAACAACAAAGGCTTGATAGAGTTTCGAATGAAACCATGAAGAAAGTACTTTAACTAGAAAAAAATACTAGTTAAAAAGCGATACATTTCTTTTCTGTTTACATCCGTTGCACAGATAAATGGACACTTGTTTATTTTAATGTCTATAATAATAATAATGGCTATTATGCTATTTTAGTGGCTTAATGTACTATAATAGTAATCTATGGTTGGCAATCAAAACCTTAAATTTGAATTTAAGATTTCAGTTTTTGCATCAACTTTGTTCAGTATATTCAGATGTATCACTGTTCTGCCAATCACTGCTAATTCTTGATGAGCACCTGCCTTGTTTTTCACACTTAGCTGCCAATGTCACATCATTCTGCAAAATCTACGTCACCCTTATGACAAAAGTTTACCTCTAGTAAAAAACATCACATTACATCGTTCATTCTTGATCAAAACATTTAATCCTTACATAACTAAATTAAGTGGCAAGCTGGAGCTTAATTTTTTGCCAAAATTAAAAAAAAACTAAAGTGGTTATGTTTTGTATTTATGTTGCTTGAAATCATTTATGGATCTTAACAATATTTTCCGTAGCGCTGAACTGATTTTTATACAAAAGTTATGAAAAAAGTAAATTTTGATTTGATGAACATATCCGTCTTAGGCCCAAGAAAAACGTAAGGTCTACGACGGATATTTCCGTCTGCCGCCCATAGCGGTAATCACAAAATATGAACACTGCCAATATAGAGTATTCTTTTGGACAGCTTATTCCATCAACCTTATTCCTTCCCTTGTCTTACTTTTATCCATCAAAATATTAACTCTTCCTGGGCTATGGAGTCAACCCCCGTTTACCTTGCGGGCGGGAAATGAATATATTCGTCTCGAGAAATTTCTTTTCTGGGCTTAAGACGGATGTATCCGTCCAAAGAACAAATTGATGTAGGCTACATTGTTTATAGGGCTAATATGAAAATAAACATTACATTATACAGCATTATAAATGGGTTATTTTGTATTTGGGGTTGGCAATAATAATTTCCACTGCTGTTTCAGCTATTATTTTGCACCATAGAGTGTGTGAATATTGTGAAACTGTCAGTTTGCACAAGGTTGTTAGCAAGAATACTAGAAAAATAACGGTATGGATCATAAACATAAACAAATGACATTTTTGGCCCGAAAGTAAACAAAACCCCTATATTAATAACATTAATTAACATATGGTCTTGTTTACTTTCGGGCCGAAATAGTTATTTGTGTAACTAGTGGGTAAAGTGGCACTTTGCTGCACACAAGAGCAAAGTTTACGCACGAGCCACAGGCGAGTGTGGAATGATCTCGAGTGCAGCAAAGGCCTTTTGCACTCGTGTTACACATTATATTTTTCCTACAGTCACTATAAAGCATATAAATAATTAGTCTTTCAAACACTATACAACACGTTTTTAGGTTCAGCTGGCAACACAAATAGGTGCCCTAGAGAAAGTAGTACCCGGTCCGTATCACTCCGCTATTTTTCCTCGGCAAGAAATGTGCTCCGCGTTTTGGGAATATAGTTCCGTATGTTTTTGTAATTTGAAGTGGTTTCCGCGCCTAAAAAAAAATGCTTTAAAGGTATTTTCTTGTTTATTAAGATTGTAGGAATGTTTTAAAAACGTTTAAAAGTCAAGAAAGTTCAGAAATACCGAAACTATAAACACGAAATGACAGGTTAAATCGTAGTTATAATAGTCAATCAGCTGCTCATAGTATTATTATCTTTAAGTGTTGCCAACCTATTTCCAAGCGTACACGGATTACATGCATAATAGAACCACGCTGTTTTGTGTTGTTTCGTTGGAATCCTGATGTGCGGCAAAGTATAAACCGTACGACAAAGTATAAACCGTACGGCAAAGTATAAATATGCAGCAATTAACAGCTTTCTGTACTATAAACAGTACAAGGAAGCCAACTTTGTCGGGTGACTGTAGGAAAACGTAATTTGTTAATGTTAAAGATCTATACCGGGTGTTTTCTAGTATTCTCGTGGTTGTTAGTGAGTGATTACATTTTGTGTTTTGTGTTATTTTTATGTTATCAATTTAAAATTACCAATCCAAACGATCTGAAATTTGAAGAGGATGTTATTGAGATGCTAAAAAAGTGTCTGAGGGGGATTTCATACTTGGCATTGAAAATATTGAAATGTGATGAACCAGAAGAATTTGAAGTCTTGGTGGGAAATGGGGATGAGAACATGGGAACAGAACAGAGTGGTTTAGATGTACTTTAGAAAGATAGATATGCCCAATAAGTTAACTGATAACTGATATTATACATTTTACAATTATAGGCCTATCTTTGTCAAAATTGATTTCAGCCAGTCAACAAACATGTAACTTTTTGTAAATGTTGAATGCAATTTTTATTCCAAAAAATATAGAGCTGTTTAGAAAATAAGAAGTGCTGTACAATAAATAACAAAATTGTACTATTATTTTAAAAGCGCAAATAAAATAGCCTACTACTTTCCTACATGGTCGCCAATCAAATTGAAAAAAAAACATTGGATAAGCTTTGAATTTCCTTCATCGTAGATTTCTACCACCTTGATCTCTCACCGAACTGCAGCTTGTAGTTGTTATCAAAGCACTGTGCTACAAACCATGTCTTCATTTTCGTAAACAAGTGAATGTCGCTAGGAGGAAGGGCTGGACT